CCTCTCCCCATTTTTTGATGGGGTTGAAGGTTTTTTTCTTGTACAATTCTACTAGTGTTTTGTATATCTTGGATATTAATCCCTTATCAGATGGATAGTGGGTAAACATTATTTCCCATTCTGTGGGCTCTTTCTGTATTTTAGTCACTATTTCTTTTAAAGTGCAGAAGTTTCTTAGTTTAATGTAGTCCCATTTGTTTATGTTTGCTTCCACTTGCATGGTCAGTCGTGTTTCATCCTTAAAGATGCTTTTAGCTTCAATGCCGTGGAGAGTTCTGCCTACAATTTCCTCTATGTACCTTATGGATTCATGTCTGTTGCTGAGGTCTTTAATCCACTTTAATCTGACTTTTGTGCCTGGCTTTAGACAGAGGTTAGAGTTCATTGTTTTGCAGGTAGCTATCCAGTTTTCCCAGCACTACTTGTTGAAGAGGCTGTCCTTGTTCCAATTCACATTTCTTGCTCCTTTGTCAAAGTTTAAGTGGATATATATTTAGGGGTCTGTGGCAGAATATTCAACTCTGTTCCATTGGTCTTCAGGTCTGTTTCTAGCCCAATACCATGCTGTTTTAATTACTACTGCTTTGAAGTAGAGTTTAAAGTTGGGGAAGGTGATGCCATCCATCTTCTTTTTGCCAAGGATTGCTTTAGCTATTCATGGGGGTTTATTGTTCTATATGAATTTCAGGAGTGTTTTGTCTATTTTTTTGAAAAATGTCGTGGGTATTCTGATAGGGACAGCACTAAATTAGCATAGTGCTTTGGACAGTATTGCCATTTTGATAATGTTAATCCTCCCTATCCATGAGCAGAGGATGTGTCTCCATTTCATGGTGTCCTCTTTTATTTCTTGAAGTAGTGTTTTGTAATTTTCTTGGTAAAGGTCCTTCACCTCTTTGGTTAAGCTGATTCCAAGGTACTTGATTTTCTGAGGTACTATTGTGAATGGGATTTTTTAATGTCTCTTTCTTCTCTTTTGTTATTTGTATATAGGAAAGCCATAGACTTCTGGGTGCTGATTTTGTAGCCTGCCACTTTACTATATCGACCTATTGTTTCTAGGAGCTTTTTTGTAGAGTCTTTAGAGTTTTCTAAGTATAGTATCATCTGCAAATAGTGATAGCTCAAACTCTTCCTTTTCTATATGTATGCCCTTGATATCTTTTTCTTGCCTAACTGTGATGGTCAGGACTTCCAGTACTATATTGAATAGGAGTGGCAAAAGTGTGCAACCTTGTCTTGTACCCAATCTTACAGGGAAAGTTATTAGTTTTTCCCCATTGAGAAAGATACTTGCCATGGGCTTGTGATAGTTGGATTTGACTATATTGAGGAAAGTTCCTTAGATGCCCATTTTGCTGAGAGTTTTCATCATACACGGGTGCTGGATCTTGTCAGATGCTTTCTCTCCATCTATTGATAGGATCATATGATTTTTATTATTTCTATTGTTGATATGATGAATTATGTTGATTGATTTGTGAATATTAAACCATCCTTGCATCCCTGGATGAATCTTAGTTGGTCATGGTGTATGATCTTTTTGATGAGTCATTGGATTCTTTTGATAATAGTTTGTTGAGGATCTTTGCATCTGTGTTTATCAGGGATATCGGCCTGCAATTCTCTTTCTTTATGATATCTTTGTCTGCTTTTGGTATCAGGGTGATCTTTGCTTCATAGAAACTGTTCAGAAGTGTTTTTGATAATTTCATGGAAAAGCTTAAAGAGGATTGGAAGTAAGTTCTCTTTAAAGGTTTGGAAAAATTCACTAGTGAATTCATCTGGACCAGGACTTTTGTGCTTGGGGAGACTTTATTACCATTTCAATTTCCTTGATGGTGATAGTTTTGTTCAGGTATTCCAGGCCTTCTTGGTTCAGCCTTGGGAGGCTATAGGAATCTAGGCATTTATTCATTTCCTTGAGGTTTTAGTGTTTCATGGCATAAAGCTTCTCAAAGTAATCTCTGAGGATCCTTTGAATTTCTGTAGTTTCTCTCGTAATGTCCCCCCTCTCATTTCTGATTCAGTTTATTAGGGTTTTCTCTCTCCCTTTTTTTGCGAGTCTTGCTAGAAGTTTATTGATCTTGTTTATTTTCTCAAAGAAACAGATCTTGCTTTCATTGAACTTTCAGATTGTTTTTTGGGTTTCCATCTTCTGTATTTCTTCTGAGTTTTATTATTTCCTTCCTCCTGCCCGGGTTGGACTTCTTTTGTTGGTCCTTTTCCAAGCTCTTGAGCTGTGTGGTTAGGTTATTTATGTGGGCTCTCTCTTCCTTCCTCTTAACACAATTTTTGCCATGTCCCTTAAGTTTTGGTAACTTGTGTCCTCATTTTTGTTTGTTTCCAGGAATCTTTTGATTTCCTCTTTGATTTCCTTTCTAAGCCACTCATTGTTCAATAATGAACAGTTTAATTTCCAAGTGTCTGATTTGATTTTCTGTTTGTGTGTGTGATTTACTTTTATTTTCAGTGCATCATGGTCTGAGAAGAACGCTGATACAATCTCTATCTTATGAATTTCATGGAGGTATGTTTTGTGGTTCAGCATGTGATCTGTCTTGGAGAATGTCCCATGCACACTTAAGAAGAATGTATTTTCATTTTTTTGAGGATGGAGTGTCCTGTATATATCTACCAAGCCCCTTTCTTCCATTTCTTCTTTCAGAAAAAGTATATCCTTGCTAAGCTTGAGTCTGGTTGATCTATAGAGAAGTGATAAAGTGGTGTTGAAATCTCCCAGTAGTATTGCATTGCTATCTTCCTTCAAGTCTATGAGCAGTTGCTTGAGTTTAGGATAATCTTACTCAAGATTTCAAAGTGTCAATTTGTTTCTGAATGTGATTGAAAACAGCAGAAATTTATGCCAAATTCATTCATTTAACTAATTCATCAAGTTATAAATGAATTAGCAATGAACTATAGTCTTAAAAAGCATTATTATTTATCCATAACAAGGAGGTTAATGTAAGTTTCATATGAATGGTTGAAAATACTGTGATAAGTAAGAAAAATTAAGCAATCTATATCACATCATTTATGAAATTTTTCGTATCAAATGAAAAGAACAGGCAAATGCATTGACACAGCATCTAAATATATTTCTGGTGAGATGGTGAGGATTAATGATATTGGGAGGAACTGATAGTATATAAGGATAAATATATTATGGACTAATCCTGTTAATGGGTGTATCAATTTGAGAAGATAAGAAATGATGAGTTACATATCTTCTTTTAATTTTAATTTTATTTTTATAGTGTTCACTTGGCCGGAGCAATAGCATAGGTAGGGTGTTTGCCTTGCTTGCAGCCGACCCAAGATCAATTCCTCCGACCCTGTTGATGGCTTTCCGGGCTCTCAGAATGCCCAGCAAGCTACCAAGAGTATTCTGCTCACATGGCAAAGCCTGGAAAGCTACCCGTGACATATTCAATATGCCAAAAACAATAACAACAAGTCTCACAATGGAGATGTTACTGGTGCCCGCTCGAGCAAAATTGATAAACAACAGAAGGACAGTGCTACAGTGCTACAGGGTTCACAATAATTTATTACATTCAATATTCCAACATCAATTCCATCACCATCACAGCTTTCCATGACCAATTTTGAATTTTCCCAACTACAACCCACACCTGCCCCAGAAGCAGGCCCTAAATAATTTATTTTGTGTTGCTTGTTATGAAAAATCCACTAAAATTGATCAAAAATTTTTCCCTAGAAGAAAGTGTGTGAAGATTGTTGTATCTCAACCTGGAGCCATTAAGCACTTTTATAAGAGATTTACTACATGCTGTGACAGGTTGAACTATGTTGAGAACATATATATATATATATATATATATATATATATATATATGCTATATACAGCAGATAAGGCGTTTGCCTTGCACACTGCCGACTTGGCTGACTTACGTTCGATTCCTGTGCCCCTCTCAGAGAACCCGGCAAGCTACCGAGAGTATTTCGCCCACATGAAAAAGCCTGGCAAGCTACCCATGATGTACTCAATATGCCAAACACAGTAACAAGTGTCACAATGGAGACGTTACTGGGCCTGCTTGAGCAAAAATATGTATATATATATATATATATATATATATATATCAGTTGCCTTCTTCTTTACACAACAATGTGGTGTGCTACTCCTGGTATATCAATGGTGTAAAGTATGAAATGTTGCATCATTGCACTTTGGAATTTCAAACATTTTAAATACGTTGATATAGCTGGACTTTAATTTTTAACTGGATGGTGACTTTGGGGATGGAGGCATGTCTTCTGAGATTTATTTGAGAGTCTCTGGATCATGTCAGTTAATGAGCTTATAAGGCACCAGAGGCAGTTCACGGGTGTGACTGCCAGGCTCCTGAAAGAACAAGGAGATTGAGGTTGATTACCCATCCTGGAGTCTATTAGAGACTGCATATTTGATCACAAAACCAACATACCTGAGTGTTGCAGAAAATTCACTCATATATGTGGTCATATATATTTGATCACAAAACCAACATACCTGAGTGTTGCAGAAAATTCACTCATATATGTTGCAGAAAATTCACTCATATATGTGGCCTGTAGAGATGAGCAGTAAATATGGTGGCTATTAAAATCTGAAGGGTTTTGGCTGTTAGGGTTCTGTTGGGGTGAGTGAGTCCCTCTCAGTTAGATATCTAAAGCGACTGAAAATGTGGAGTGCAAATTCTATCAAAAAACTTTCAAAACTATGGGTACGTAGACTATCTCATGCCATTTATAAATTTATTGTTGAGCATGCTCTTATATGCATGCAAACTCAGAGAATTAGAAAGAAATGAAAGAAGCTGCAAATTTGAAGGATTGTTAAAAATAGGTAAATACAAAAGAATATGGAGAATGTTATGATTCTTAAAAATTATCATTTTATAATTATTTAAGTTCAAAATAATCATGAAAAGAAAAATATATAATATAGAGGGAAGGAGGATGAAGGAACACTGAGCAGATTTTTGTCTCACTTACCCATGAGCGTGAACCACTGTGCGCGCACCATCACTCTTGGGTGAGCAACAGTAGTAATCAGCCTCATCCTCAGGCTTGAGCCCAGAGATGGTCAGGGTCGCTGTGTTGCCAGACTTGGAGCCAGAGAAGCGATCAGGGATCCCGGATGGCCTTTTTTTGACCTCATAAATTAGCATTTTGGGGACTGTGCCCCCATTCTGCTGGTACCAGGAGACATAGTCATATTTCCCAATGTCATTGCTGGTTCCTGTACAGGAGATGGTCACTGTCTGTCCCTGAGTCCCAGATACTGAGGAAAGCTGAGTAAGGATATTCTGGGCCCAGAACCCTGAAAAACAGACACACACTCTAGTGAGTTCAGGCTGGTTCTGGATGAACGTGAGGAAGGAAGACAAGAGTAAGTTCAGATGTGCCCATGTCCCTTTCCCGAGACTCACCTGGGCCCTGGCTGAGGAAGCTGAGGAGGAGAAGAGCCCAGGTCATGATGGAGATGCCCAGAGTGCTGCCTGCTGACACGCCAACCCTGAGCCTGGCTCTCTCCCAGCTCTTATCCCTCCCCTGCCCCAGAGAAGGGAGGGGCCTGCATGCAAAGCTGTTTCCTGCACCTGCCTCTGCTCACCCCTCTCTGGCCTGGCCTAGAATTCTATATGTCTCAGAATTACTTGATATCAGAGATATCAAGAAAAAAATTATTCTGACATAAGTATTCTCAGAAGAAATATTTCTTTATACCTTATTTACAGAGAATAATAAATGTGCTGAAATCCCTCATGTTCATGACGTCTGTGACGTCTGTGTCTGTCTCTGTATTAGGATGTGACAATGTCTCCATGAACAAATAAGTCTGGGGCACCACTAGAGGTTCCCTTAATTGGGAGTTCATATTACAAGTTATTTCTAACTTTCTAAGATTCGGAAAAAGTTAGTTACCATCTCTGGGGAAAAAAAAAAACATAACTGGCTCTGGTGATCTCTTTTTTGGGGACTACAAACTACATGCTTTTCACTGCTCTGTGCCTTACTTGCCTGTGGTGTAATATCTGCAGTATGGAATTTCTCAGGCAGCTTAATCATTGGAACACTCACCTACCAACCATAGGGATGCTACAAATTGAGAAGACCAAGCAATAAACAGCAATTCAGAAAACACAAGGAATGATACTCCCATTTGTGTCTCCCAGTGTTGCCTTTGCATTCTTGAACTTGTCAATATCAGTGTTCTCTCTCCAACTCTCATTCAACAAAAGTCAAGACAGGAAATTATGGACTGTATTTTGGCATTTAAAGGATAGTAGTAAGAGAAACAGAGAGATACACAAGCTCAGTTTTTTAACATACACAGTGAAGTACTTCTTATGAATTTGTATTATCCAATATTTTATTCTATTTTACCTTATACACTGATTATAACACTATGTACAATATAGTATTTATGATATCACTGTCCTGTCACTGTCCTCCCATTGTTCATTGATTTGCTCGAGCGGGCCCAGTAACGTTTCCATTGGAGACTTTGTTGTTACTGTGTTTGGCATATCGAATACATCACGGGTAGCTTGACAGGCTCTGCCGTGCGGGCGAGATACTCTCGGTAGCTTGCTGGGCTCTCTGAGAGGGGCAGAGGAATCGAACTTGGGTCAGCCATGGTGGCTGCATGCAAGGCAAACGCCCTACTGCTTTGCTATCGCTCCAGCCCATACATGATATACATAATATTATATATTATATAATGAATATAGTATAGTATAATGCTATGTATAATACTTTATATTATAATACTAATATGGTTTCAACTTCCTTGGGCTTCCTTTAAGTCAGTGAACCAATAAATATATGTAGGTATATGATACATCAATCTCTATGTATAATTCATATGTGAATATTATTCCTCCTCTCCAGCCTGTATTGTGAATACCAACGTAAAATTACATCTCACCATTATTCCTTCCAAAAGTTTGGAAAACATCCTAGTAGTAGCACACCAGAATGTACAGCAATGTACTATAAAAGACAACTAATCTCAAACAAACATTACTAACAATCTGAACTAACAAAAATGGCACAGAAGGCTTAACTGCAACAACTGCATAGTAAACCCTCAGACAAGAACTTAATGTAGCAATGGTGACATACAATTTTTGCAAATTTTATTATACTGAAACATTTTTTGATCTTTTCATTCCCCATTTAGTAGTAAAAAGCAACATTAAATAAATTATTGTGCACCTATATGGGGGCATGATTGAAGGCTGTTTGGGAAAATGGAGTCCATTGTAGAGGAAAGGTGACAGTGGTGGTGGAATTGATATTGTAATATTGACTGCCTATAACAACAAATATTGACTGTCTTTTATAAATTTTGTTAGCCACAATATTTAAATAAAATGGATAGGAAAGGGATAGGGAAAGGCTTGGAAAACTACTTACCATTTCTCACATTTTGTCTTTTTCTTTTAATTTTTTTTTCAGTTCTGACACTTTCTAATACACAATGCCTACCTTGCATGAGTAAAGTTTCAAGTTCAAATCCTGGTGTCACCATACATCATGGACCTGATCCTGGAAGCTCTGTTGTTTCAGATTGGCAGATTTGTTGTCTGGATCCCAACACCAGAAGAGATTTTCTCCAATACAACATCCAGGAGATGTGCACAGGAATACTTTCAGGAATGTCCAGTGATGAGCAGTACTATAAGACATTAATATTTTCACCAGGAAAATAGAGCCCCAGGGAACTCCAATGCTGAATGTGTGGCATGAATGAGAAACACAACGAAAGGTGAAAGCACCATAGTCAGTGTGATAAAAAGCCTTTGATATCAACCACAACCACTAAAATAACTAAGTAGGAAAGGAAATGGGAACTCTAAATTCATCAATTTTTAAAAGATACCTACTTTACTGTTGAGTCAAATAAATATTTACCCACAGCTTCCTTTTCAGCTCTACTAAGCTCAGACACTATTTCTCTATCCTACGCAGTTGAAAGCCATGAGAACACTCAGAGGAGAGCTATTTGAGTAACTGAAAATGTAGATGATAAAATATTTGTGAGGGAAACTCCATATTTTAAGGAACATCAAGGGCACTGAACTTTATATTTTTAATTCTGTTCCTCTGGACTCAACAAGAGCCACCAAACTAGTATGCCCACCCACATTTCTTCCTAGGAAAAGCTAAGGATAGGCAGGTATTGATTGGTACTTCATACAATTCAGGGTGAACCACACAATGCTCTTCCCAGACCAGGGTCTTCACTTCCCGCAGGTGACCACATATTGCATTACCAAAACTCATAAAGAAAGCACATTGAACTGGAAAATCTCTCCTCCAGTTCCTCTTCTTTTCCTCCGTGTTTTTATCTACACCATTTCTTTCTAGTACCTTTCCAATCTCTCTCTTGTCCTCAAATCAAAAAGTCAAAAAAATTTTTAAAAAAGAGCAGAATAAACCAAAAATATCTACAAAGTATCCTCTCTAAATGCAAAGAATACAGAAATATTTTTGAAATAGATAATAAGCATACTATAAAATTTAATTAAAATGTATATGATATAATGTAAATATGGAATCTTCCAAGGGGTAAAACCACCAGCATAGAAGCAATACAGATAAATTAATACTTAGTTTCAAATTATCAGAAAATTCATACTCCTAAATGTGTACACACTGAACAGGATGGCCACAAGAGTTATTAAGACACTAATAGTAGTGAAATAACAGATGAAGGAGCCCAAGTTAGGATCTTTGCAGAGTGTCTAATCGTGTGAAGCTGTATGCTCCTGATCCACATTTGAAATCATTCCGGTGCCTCCAAGTAGAAGGAGCAGAAACAAGAGGGATTTCCCACAAAATTCTTTCTCCTTAAAAACATGACAGTTGTGGGTCCTTGAGAAGGCTGAGAACGTTCCTTCTCTGATCTGAATGATCGGGAAAAGAAAGAATTTAATCAACTGGGAAAATATTCAACTCTTCCTTTCATGAACTACTGTCAGTCAACAGTTTCTGCAGTCACGGGATGAGATGAGGGCAAATGTATTGGGGAGCAAATTGAGAGGATTAAAGCCTCTGACATGCTGTTTCCTCTGTTGTTTTACTTCATGCATATTTATTAGGACACAGATGATTTTCAATATTCTGGGCTTTCTTCAACATAGTGAAGCAGTAAATGTTTAAGTTAGTGATACATAAATCTCTATACAAATGATATATTAATATATATAAAATGATATATAAACTACCCCTTCACCCTTATAGTTCAGTTCAACATAAAATTATAGACCCTTTTTATTCCTTTCAAAAACTTGGAACTCTACCTTCAATTTCTCACATTTCATCTTTTGCTTTTTCTTCGATTTTCACATTCTCTAATACTTGTGCTCTAAACCTGAGTTAGGGTAGACTTGCTTACTGGTTTAAGGGCCTGTCTGGCATGAGTAAGGTTTCAAGGTCGATGCCTGGTGCCACCACATGTCCTGAACAGAATCCTGGAAGCTTTGCTATTTCAAATTGGCAGCTCTGCCGCCTATATCCCAACACCATAAGGGATTTTCTACAAAACAACATCTAGGTGGGTGTGAACACCAAGACTAAAAGCTGTAACCCATGATGAGCAGTACTAAGAGGCAGGTGAACTCTTACACCAGAAAAATACTTCCCCAGGGACCACAGTGCTGACTCTGTGAGCACTAAAATCTGATGTGTTTTCCAGTATGCAACACAACTAAATGTGAAAGCACCATAGTCAGTGTGTCTACAACCCTTAGATCTCACACATCCACCACTACTAAAGAAACAAAGAACAAATGGAAACTGTAAATTCAAAAACATTGTTTTTTTTTAAAAAAATAGCACTTTAATGTCATGTTAAATAATACATTCAGCTTCAGATTCCACTCCAGATATAGGGAGCTCACACCAACATATCTCCATCCTACACAGAGGAGAGCCCTGAGAACATTCAGAGGGAACAACTATTTGAGTAACTCAATATGTGGATCATAAAATGTGAATCAGGAGGGAAGCTCCTGCATTTAGAGCAACATCAAAAGTCGTGAACTTCCTGTTTCACATTTTGTGCCTCTGGACTCAAGAATAGTCACCAAACTAGTATTCTCACCCATATTACTTCTGGAAAGAGTGAAGGATAGGCAGCTCTTGGTACATTATACTTTTCAGAATAAAGCACAGTAATGAATTTTTCTGACCCAGCTCTTTACCTCCATCTAGTTGCCACATCTGCATTACAAAGACTGATAAAAAGCATAATTGGAAAAAAGCACAATTGAGCTGAAAATCCTCTCCTCCAATCCCTCTCTTTTCTTCTATGTTGGGAAACAGAGAGACTTGGAAGGAAATGAAAGAATTGAAAACCACCTCGATTCTTCCTAGTCCTTTCCTAAACTCTTTCCCTGGTCCTCAGCATCCAAAAAAGACAAAGTAAATTGAAAGAAAAGAAAAACAGATGATTTCTACAAAGTGCC